CCACAACAGTCCGGCGCTCTACCAATTGAGCTAACCAGGAGGCAGTTAAGATAACAACTACTACCTGATAAGTTTGAGTACATACACTCCTTGTTTTCTGGATAATGTGTGGGCATCATAGAGAGAGATTTGGTATTAAGGAAACCCTGCAAGACTGCTGAGGGCTATCTTGAATACATTAGCATCTCATACAGATAGAGTAACATACTAATACTTCACCGGGGAACTTCAAGCTTCAAGAATTGAGCTAGGCTTTTACAAGATGAAAAACCAAACTCTAAACTTAGCCATTCTTTCAATATCGTTGTATTGTTGATGTTAATACCATCAACCCTGTAACTATGTTTGAGACTTCATTAACTTATCAAGACAATGACATCACATCATTCAATAAATTGCCCCTAAAACTTACTTGATGTGCTCTGCAATTTCATTCAAAGGATTAGGCAAAGGTGTATCTTTTACGTCACTGAAAGAAAAGTTAAAACCATATCGTTTGATTTTATCATTGAAAAGTCCCATCACAGATCAGTAGCTGAGATATTGCTTTCTTTCAAAATTGAGTATATTCAACTTAATTACCATAAGTAAAAGAATCAAACCTTACAGGGATTTTGTGTAATTTGTGACAGACAGTCACAAATGACCATCAGTCCCCTGGGCACTGAATCAAATCATTACAGTAAGGTCTATTTTCCAAAAAAGACAATCCCTCAAGCAATGTCACATGTTCTGTATACATGTGCTGGGAAAAATTAGATCTAGAACTTTGTTAAATTTAGATATTGATATCTTACCCCTCCCTCCCTGTGACGTTGCCAGCTGTGCCCGTGACTCCACCACTCGTACTAGTACCAGTCCCACCCAGGCCAGTAAGAGTGGTAGAGGCTGAGGTACTTGTGGATGCCATAGTTTTTACTGCATTGAAACCTGTAAATGTGCCAATACCCGTGCTAGTACTTAGTCCCAACCCAACACCAGTTGAAGAACTCCCAAGCAATGTTGTTGTGGTTGTGGTTGCAGTATTTCCTTTGAACAAACTACTTCCTAGATTGAGGCCAGATGTTGCACCAGATGCTGGTGTTGCCCCTATGGTAAAACCACTACTTTGTCCTAATTGGCTGGTTTGTCCAAATGCTCCCAAAGTGGGAGCTGTTGCCGTGGTTTTCGCTGCGCTAAATAAAGAAATGGTTGCAGGTGTAGTGGGGCCTGAGGCACCAAATTTGAATCCTGAAGTGGCCCCGACAGAAGAGGCCGCTGATGAACCAAACGGCGTGCCCAAGGTCGTAGTGGTAGAAGCTCCGAAGGGTTTAATGGCAGAAAATCCGGTTCCTCCTACCGAAGTACCGGTCGAAGTACTAGCACCAAAACTTGGTGTTCCAGTAGTGCTGCTAGCGCTTCCGAAAGAGAAACTTTTCGAACCGCTGCCAAAAAGACCTCCAGTTGTCGCTGCCGCCATTATGGTTTCCCTGAGGCACATCAGCGAATCAAAACCCTTGTTATAAAATTCATTTAGTGCATCACGGGACTGCGGCTGTACTTTTCAATATGGCGGCCGGCGGAGGTTTAATAAATCGACTGGAAGTTTAGGAAGAAATATTCTTTTGCTAAAAGATCCGAGGAGTACGTTCAAAGGAGGAATTATTCGTATCGAGGATGGATCTGATAAAGACTCCAAAGGTAAATTATGTGACATCACTACTCAGAAAAAGATCCAATTTCGGCATCGATCATATGACCGGTATTCGTGCAGCATTTTTCCCATTTTATTCATCCGAAGGAAATTGTGTTTCAAACTTATAGTTTGGGAAAATACCAGAGAAATATTTTTGTCTTGATTCGAGATAGAGAGATTGGTTGGTAGGAAGCTGGAGACTGACGAGTTCTCGTTAATTTTGTCATTTGTTGCTACTCACGCAACTTGATGCATATCAGAATAAGTCTTAATTTTGTCTGCATATTATCCTGACACTGATATTAGATAACATTCTGGTGAAGTTTAAGTTGCTTTTTTTTTAACCGTTAACACTTCAATGTACCTCTATTTTGACTCCTGGGTGTACTTCGTACTAAATCAAAAGTAAGGTTTCCTTACATGTAGACATCGATCTCCTATAACATCTTTCCAGCAGGAACAATTATTAATTGTTATTATTTTGAACAAAAATTAAAAGGAGATAACAGTGGACGATTACGTAATTAAACATAAGAGTTTTTGGTAAGATTTGTACACAGCACGGCTTCATGCATACAGTTCTTAGATAATTCATAAGAAAAACAAAGGCAAAAACATTAGATTGCCTTGTTGTTATATTATGAAAGCAGCAATAAGTGATTCCAAACCTGTTTTTCTTATTTGTTACTGTTTTCTTGATATGTAGATTGAAAATGTCCGCTTAATGACAAAGAATGGGAAAAAGAAGGCTGCGGTGGGTAATTTATACCTGACAACTACTCATCTGTTATTTGTTGATCCTGACTGCTCCAAAGAAACATGGGTAAGTTATGTGACCCATGGGTAAGTTATGTGACCCTGTGCTTGGCACATTGGAGAAGGGACTGTAAAAATTCACTTTTTTGCAAGCCCCTCCTCCCTGCTCACAACTTACTTTAAAAAAAAAAACAAAACTGTTAAAACAGTCAATCATATGCCATTTCCACATCTATATATTAAGTATTGATGAGCCTACTAAGCAAAAGAAAGCTGTTAAGTAACCTTCCTTTTTCAATTGCCTGCCCTAAGAATAGTATGAATGTCTGTAACTTCATGTTCTTGTTTATATTGGTTGTCTAGGTGACTCCATAGCAGATAGTGGTAGTTCTTTACTTGTACATCATCAGTATTAAAATATAATTTACTTCATTTATTTGTGATTATGTACACATATTCTCAATTGTGTTGTATTTCTATAGATCCTACATTCCCACATTGCATCAGTGGAGAAGCTCCCCCTCACGGCAGCAGGATCACCTTTGAAAATTCGCTGCAAGACTTTCTTGATTGTGACATTTGTAATTTCAAGAGATAGAGATAGCCAAGAAATTTACACATCATTGTTACAACTTTCCAAACCAGGTAAAGTTTGCCAAATAATTCAACACAATACAGATGTTTTTGTGCGAGAGTTGCCAAAGTAAACTCACAGTAAGTAGATCAAGAAAGGGCAAATATAAAGGAAGGAATATACTAAAAGAAGCCAATCAGATCTTGAAGTGGAGATCTTTGAACAACTTGAGTTGGTGGAAATTCTTGGTGACTTAGTTTGAAATGGGTTTTGTTTAAAATGGTATTGGTTCAGAAAGTGGCATATTTTATATGTGGTATGCAACTGGGGGCAGGGTGGAGGGAAGCAAAAACATTCAATAGTGGATAAATTTACTTAAAAATTAAAATTGCTCTTTAAGGTTACTTCCTACTTTTGTGGGTGTCCTTCGGGAAAAAATTCATACGCATGCTAGTTTGAAGAAAACCCTAACAAACTATACATCAAAGCAAAGTGTAATAAATGCAGTTTATGATGAAAATATAATCTAGGAGATTTTTTCATTTAGGAAGTGTCAGGAGCCAATAAGGTGTGAAATGACCGAGGGTCTTTCTATTAAATTTATCCGGTATCGGATCCCGCGGCACGAGAAAAATGGCTGCACAATCTCATTCACAAGGCATCAATCAACAAAAGTGTGTCTGGCTTTTCCGATATTCTGATTGGTTGTCTAGATATTCACATCTAAAGTTAGAGTAGCGAAAAATATGCGAAGCGTGTTGCGTAAGTGGACACCACGTAAAAAGTATTTCAAATATCAAATTTCCTGACATGCTTTTGTTCGTCATCATTCCAAGAATGTTGTGGCAAAATTTCACGAAAATCGGTCAAATCTACGTACCCTATAGATTTGCTCAAAGTGATGTATTCCTCTCAAAATCAAATGCGAGAATATGGATTGAACAGTATGCCTGAACAGTCTTTGATATGTCATGGTGACTGTATAAGTGTGTGTTTATGTATATATGTATACTTAACTGACCACTCCCCAAGACGGCTTTCAAGGCCAGTGTAAACATAATGGAACACTGTGAATAAACAGTGTTCTAAACTCCCAACTGGCGAGAAGCAGACCAGTTGGGTATATACAAACCACGGCCAAGAATTTGAACTCAGGACAACTACGATCAAATTCAGTGGTTAACAGGGAGGAGAGCTTGGACCCAAACCACCTGATTACAAGACCAGCACCCTAACCACTCTGCCACTTTGCCTCCAATTAATTCCTGATATAACAGGGAATGACAGCAATAGTGTAACATGGCAAAATAGTTCTTTGCTCAAGATTGGAAAAATGTTTTTAAAAGGGTTTAGAGCTATCTTTTATTCCTTAGTGGGCTGGGAAGCTGCAATTTGCTTTTAGACTCTGGTGACAGTAAAACATGAACTGAG